TCTCATAAATCAAATAATTTTTCTCTTTTAAAAAAATAGTTATTTTTAAATAATATATAGTGACACATTATATCGCTTTTCCTTTAGAGTGTGTTTGGATGGAGAATTTAAATGGAGTAATTCACTTATTTGAAGAATTTCAAATTCTTTGAGGTGAAATATTTTGTTTGGATAGAGAATTTATAAGGAATTTGAAATTCAAGTATTTTTGAAATTCTTTGAAATAATAGAATTTCAAATTCTCCCAAAAAAGTAAGAATTTGAAATTTTTTGTATTTTTTTCTTCTTATTTCACTTATATATTTTATCTTATATCTTATCTCTTCATGTTTTTAATTATTGAATATTCAAAAATATTTTTAAAATTATTAAATATTATCTAATATTAATTTTTAAAATTATTAAATATTTAAAAATTAGCTAATATTTATTTTTATAAAATTTAATTTAAAAATCTCAACATATAAATATATTTTTAAAATCAATTTTATCATGGTGGAATTAAATTATCATATCCAACCTAACAATTTAAAATTTGAGAAATTTGAATTGACTTATCCAAACAAAATATTATAAGAATGATAGAAATTAAAATCAAAGTAATTCAAATACCAAGAAATTTAAAATTCTTTGAATTTATAAAATTTCTCATCCAAACACACCATAAACCTTAAACATAACATAAAAGTTACATTATAATAAATATTTAAATATTTATCTCTTAATATTTTAATATTAAAAAACGTTATATAATTATTTCTCAATAATAATAATAATACAATAAATATTTAATTAATACTATACTTATCTCTTAATAATAGTAAAATAATATCTTAATAAAATTTTAAATGCTATAATACATATATAATATTTAAAATACTTAAACGAATATCATAATAAATAAGTATCTTAAAATTTTATGATTAAAATTTAAAATATCATAAAGATATTTAAAATGAAAATAAAATTATTTAAAGTATGAACAACTAATAACGATAATAATAAGACATTTCTCTCTTAAAAAATACTCTTGATTTCCAATAAAAAAATTATAATTTTTTTTCTATCTTATATTAGAACTAATACTATTAAAATAACGTTTTCCAAAATATTAATGAAAATAAACTCAATAAAAGTACACATAAGAATAATCTTAAACTTCAAATTTTATAGAATAGAAAAAATATCTTAATGATTAATGTAAATTAATATTATAATAAATATTGAAAATATATAATTATATTATGAAATGTTAATTAATATTTATAATATAAAATTTATATTTAGATGTTCAAAATCATAATGTTAAAAAATATAAAATAAATTAAAACAACTCTAATAATAAATATAAAAAGCACTAATGTAATATAAAACGAATAAGAGCAAATTAATATTATAATTTAAAGAAAAAAAATAATACTATGATAATAGTATAATAGTCTAAATTTTAAAATAATAAAATAATATTATAAAAATTTATATAATAATCGTATATAGTAATAGATATAAATAATCATTTTAATAATGACATTATAAAATAAATATATAAAATAAAAAAAAGTTAAAATATCATAAAAATAAGAGATATTTTTTTTATCTTCAAAAAAACAAGATCTGTTACCAGAAAAAACTTCAAAAAATTAAGAGATGTTTATGCACCCGTATAAAATAATTTTAATAAATAAAAAGTGCAACGCGTTCAACACATGAATTTAATTTAAACTGTCTATAGCTAAAATCTTAAATACAAGAAACTAAAAATTGATACACAACATCGCCGTTGCCGGGGATCGAACCCGGGTCACCCGCGTGACAGGCGGGAATACTTACCACTATACTACAACGACTGCATATGAAGGTGGTGAAATTTATCTTATATAAAGTCAGAAAACCTGACGTTGGCTTTTGAAATCCAGTAAATGGAAGCCATCCTTCTCTTGAATAACAGATATTGAAATAAGGCACGTTCTTAATTCAAAGTAGGTGATTGGTTTAGGCTTTGTATCACTGGTTGTGTTCAGATCCTAACTTTAAAGAAGTTAAAAAATAAAGAATGGAATGACTGAACTTAATGCAGAACAATTTTTGGCAAATGAAATCATCTGACACTAGTTTAATGGTGCTCTTTATGTGATGAACCGGGTTGTTGAAGGCATGGAGGTGCTCCAACCTAGTATTCTATTTTGAGCTGTTCATAAAACTATTTTGAAAATTAAATTAAATTATTAAAAAAATTGAATTATTTTCTATAAAAATTAAATTAAACTATATTTTAAGTTCGGTTCAAAAAATTAAACTACTATAAAATATAGTTTAGTGTAATATATATATATATATATATATATATATAATTTGCTATAATGATTTTTATATAATTGTTGTATTTAAAATGTACAAGTAATGATTTTTATTATAAACACAATTATATATTTTAAAGATTTTTTGAAATATTTTTATTCATTTACACATTAACATGAATAATTAAAATATTATCTTTTTAATAGTTATTTGATAGATTATATTTACGATAATTTTTAATTAATTTGACTATATAAACAATTTATTACAAATGAACTTTTGTTTTAAAATACACAAACTATAAATCAAATCATCTAACATTTAAAAACATTCTTACGATGATTTTAAATCATGTTTTTTGGTTTTAATTTATTTTATCTATGTATGATTTTTCTTTGTTGACATTTTTAGTGTTTTTAATTAAATGTAAAGGGAAAAATTATGTTTTTCATGAATATTTAATACAACTACAAATCTATATATAACTCAAATTCAAGATGATTGATATATTGAAACAAATTTTTAATTGATAAGGTTGTTCAAAAATTATTTCAAACAAAATAATTAGAAAATTAAATTTAACTAGACTATAAAAATACTAAACTATTTTTTATAAGATTTAAATTGAACTTAAGTTTAATTTTAAAAACTAAATTACTATTAAAAAAAATTAATTTCATTTAGTTCAAATCAAGAAAAGGTTTGATTAAAAGTACAAAAATAATTTAATTTAGTACAATGTATAGTTAAAATAGATAGAATATCGACTAGTTATAAATTCATAGTTATTTCTTTTATAAACTTGAACTATTTTACCTTAATTTTTTGCAAGTAATTTTTGATAAACGATTTTGATTGACTTACCACTTAGAAGATTTTAGTTTTTCCAAATTAAACCATGTTGGACACAATTTAGTTTATTAATATAAGTTTGAGAATAAGAGTTAATTTTTAAAAAATTATAATATACCTTAGTTAAATTTATAATAAAAAGTTAATTTAGTTTAAATTTTAAAATATTCCAAACTATTAGAACTATAGTTCATTAAACTAGAAAATAATTTAATTTTTTAAAAAACTATTTTATAGTAATTACTTTGATTCAAGTAAACTACTTTTATAATTCAGTGTAACTAACATATAGTTTAATTTAATTTAACCTTTTTGAATTTCCCAACTATATAACCAATAAATAAAAATGGGAAAATGAAGAGGGCAATAAGTCACTAGTGAAATATTCCGATAGGAGGAAATTAAATCATCTTTTACAAATGAACTGCATTAAAAAAAAAAAAAAGACGATTGCCTCCCAGGGGCCAAAACAACAAGAAAAAAAATATAAAAAAAATTCACGCATACCTAAAGCACTACGTTAATTGAACTCAGATAGATAAAGAAAAAAAAGTGTAAATACAATAAGTCACATTATGTGATAGGAAGAAAAAATAATTAACCATAGATGCTAATAAAGTGTAGAGTCTGGTAATACATTATCTAATACACCATGACATGAAATAATAAGAATAAAAAAACAACAAATAATACATGTTAGTGTATGAAAGATAATAATATGTGAGGGAAGAGAAATGAAGCGAAATCAGAGATGTCAATTTATTATCTAATACACTATTTTTTTTTATCACATGATATTAACTTTCATGCGTATATATTTTCCTTTTTATGTCCATTTCTTTTAAGTATTGGATAGCATTTCCGTTTTAAATTTAAAAAAAAATGATTTCTCTAACCGCATTGGGTCAGTTTATTTTAATTTTTTTTTCTTATAAAAGTATTTAACTACTTTTTTTTAATCTTTTTGAAGTATTTGTTTAAACTTATTTTTTTTTTCAAAAAAGAAATTTTTTAAGGAAAAGTTCCTATCTAATTCTTAAATAATTATTTTTAAAAAAATATTTATTTAGAATCATTTTTTTAAGTTTAAATATATATATATATTATCTTTTTGGCGAAAAAAAAACTACAATTAAGAAAATAACAAATTAATATTCTAAAAAGAGTTAAAGAATCAAAGTTAAGGGGAAAAAACTTTTTCTTTTCAGATACAGACATAAATAAGAGTTAATCACCTTGTCAGTGTAAAGTTTTTTTATACTGACAATTAATTAGATCTTTTAATTGTGTCATGTTATTATAAACACATTTATTTTTAACAGTAACATGACACAATTAAAAGATCTAATTGGTTGTTGGTGTAAAAAACTTTACACTGACAAGGTGATTAATTCCATAAATAATATGTGTATGGGAAACAAAGCAGAAGAAGAAAGAAGTCTGTTTATGAAGATAATATCCCACGAGAAAATCTGCTAAATGACACACATTGCAACACTAAGGTGGCCTTAATTATAAAGGTCCAGAAAAGCTGCTTAGTTGATTTTCCAATTTGGCATGCTTGGTTGGTTTCCAAAATTCCAAAAGCTATTTTGATGCGTTGTTTTTTCCAAAATGAAGTTGAACAAGGGAAAAAGGGAAGAAAGTTTTGGCATAAATAATAGTATTATTTTATACAGTAGTTAGATAATTGTAAAAGGAAAAAGCAAGTGTGGGTGCGGAGGTAGTGCATGAATTAAGGTTGGGAGAAATGGGTATGCGCACGTGCAGATATGTTTTGTTTTGTGTGGCGGCCAATAACATTAGTTTACTAGGATGATGCAAACGTAAGGTAACATAAATACGAAGGTAGCCTCGAAGTCGAAGGGGACGCAATAGGATAGGAGAGTGAAAGGGGCAGTTGAGTAAGTTTAATCATCTCACGACTCACAAGCAGTGAGCAGCAAGTCTTTGCCGTGTTTTGACCTCTTCATCACACTGTCTCTCTTCTCACTTCTCACCCCCAAACCACACCACAGTGTATACAAACCTTTTATTTCATGCCTCTATCATTTCAACCCTTCCGTCCTCTGCTTCATAAACAAAGAGCTAGACATGAGAGGTGATGCTTTCGACACTATCAACGCTGCTGCCACTGCGATTGCTTCCGTCCAAAATCGCCTCCATCCTCACGTCCAGGTATACTGATTAATACCTTAATCACTTTTTATCAATTTTCCATACTTTCTTTCACCTATTATCAACATGTGGATTTCATCTATTTAATGCTTCACACCTCTCGCTTCTCTGTTTTTCCCCTCTAATTCTGTTTTTCTTGCTCAGATTTTTATTATGCATGCTCTTTATTTCTTGTTCAATGTTGCTCTGTTAGCTTCGGTTGTTATAATCAATATCTTGTCCAAAACAGATTGCTTTTTTCATTATTTTTTTTCCTTTTTGGTTGAACTGATGAATTTAACAAACATTACTTTTTCAAAAGTTTTAATTAATGATATATTAAGTTCGTGAAAAGTTTTTTTTTATCCATGTAAATTATAATGATGGCATGAGAGTTTAAACTTATCATCTTCTACATACTACTCCATTTCCACCTATTGACCGACATTAGTGTTTCAGGTGAAAAGTTAACATAAGTAAAACTTCACTTTATATTATTTGATAAAGTCGATAATATTAACAGCGATGAGATGTAATGGAGAGATATTACATTTATGTATCGTCATTTTCTTCTTCTTCTTCTTCTAAATTTCGATATTTATCGATAATCTGATCTCTGAAGACGTATGAAGTTGAACTCTACATTTTGTATCACTGCAAAACTTGTTAAAGCCAACTTCTCCGTAAGTATAAGTATCCATATAATAAGGAAAAATCAGTTTTTTGAGAGGTAAATGGTTTTTTGTAGAAGCCAATGTCAAATGATTTGGAGTCTAACCTTTTTCAGTGAATACAAATTATTCACCTGAATGAGACTCCACATTCTTTCCCTGGATCTTTTGCGCACAGGATTAATTTTCTAGTTACACGCTAATAGCACATTCATTGAATTCTTACTATATTCATCCTGCAAGCAATCATAAACTTTTGCAAGGAACACATGATAATTTTCAGCCTACGCGTGTATGTTTCTCACACATTTCATCATGCTCAAATTACAGTCTTAGTTAGCTATATTCCATGATCTTTAGTTTATAACTATTACCATCTGTAATTGGTACTTTCTGAACTGATCAAGAGAACTCTTGTGATGTCTTGTATGACCGAAACATGACTCAGTTTTTACTGCTTGCAGAAGAAAAGCTGGGGAAGCTGGTTGAGCACATATTGGTGTTTTGGACACCACAAAAACCGAAAGCGCATTGGACATGCAGTCCATGTTCCCGATAGTTCAACAACACAAGCACCTAGTATTCCACTCCCCTTCGCTGCACCTCCCTCTTCTCCCGCATCTTTCCTTCACCCAGAACCTTCTTCAGTTGCACAATCACCAGGTGGCATACTACCTCTCACTTCCGTTTCTGCCAGCATGTACTCTCCTAGTCCTAGTGGTCCTTTCTCTATCTTTGCCATTGGACCATACACACATGAAACACAACTAGTGTCACCGCCAGTTTTCTCAACATTCACCACTGAGCCATCAACCGCTCCATTCACTCCACCTCCTGAATCTGTCCACTTGACTACACCTTCTTCACCTGAAGTGCCATTTGCTCAGCTTCTTGACCCCAAAAACAGGAATGGTGAGACATATCACTATCACTATGACTTCCACTCTTATCAGCTTCATCCTGGAAGCCCCATTGGTCAACTCATATCACCAAGATCAGCTTTCTCAGCTTCTGGCACCTCATCTCCTTTCCCTGACACCGAGTTCACTTCTCGTGCTTCCTTCCTCCTTGACCCTCCCAAGCTTCTAAACTTGGATAAACTCTCAACTTATGAAAACCAAAAGTCACGTCAAGGTTCTTCTGGCTCTCTAACCCCAGATTCTGTAAGATCCACAACTCAACCTGGTTTTCTCCAAAGCCACTGGGTTTCTGAGATCACAATGTCCCCACATCCAAGAAAGAATCGCCCCAATGAGATTAGTGTAAATCATAGGGTCTCAATTGAAGTATCTGCACAAGAAGCATTGAGATGTGTGGAAAACAAGCCAGTGGCATGTACTATAGCACCTTCAAAGTTCAAAACTGATGCACCCGGAGCAGATAAAGAAGATAATTCAGGAGAAGCCCTTGTAACTGAAACTCCCAATGATGCACCACAGCAGATCACGGACGGTGGAGATGGGGAAATAGTTCACCAAAAGGAAGATTGTATAACATTTTCATCTGCTAAAGAATTCAACTTTGATAACGCTGAAGGAGGGGATTCTCCTGCTCCCAATATAGTTGCTGAGTGGTGGGCTAATGAGAAAGTTGCAAGTAAGGAAGGAGGATCCTCCAACAATTGGTCTTTCTTCCCAATGATTCAACCTGGTGCTGGATAATCGACAATAAGGACTCACTTAGTTTGGTTTTACTTAGCCTTGCTGGAATTTGGCATGGGTTTTTATTTGTGTGCCATTCTAAGGCATCAGCCAACACTACCTCTGCTAAATTGAATCATAGGCAACTAGGAATTTTACATCGGTAGATCTAACTAATAATTTTTTTTTTTTTTGTTTTTTTTTTTTTTAACTTGGCCCAAAATATGAAGTTAAGTTTTGCAGAATAGTGATAATTAATTTTGCAGTAAGCTTACTTTGGACTAGGAATGGCTTTACATTTATAGTTGACATCGAGAAAGTGGTTTCCTATCACCATTGATGATATAGATTTTTGACTATGACGTGTTTTGGGAGCAAAGGCCACTCCACGACAAGTATGAGAGCTTTCGCCTGCAGCAAAGAACGAGTTATTACACTTGAGTTCATGAATTGTTAAGAAAATAATCTATAACTATTGTTTACACGTACATATTTTAGTTTTAATTTTATTTTTAAATTATAAATCACTCATATCTTTTAAATAATTATCTCATTTTATATTATTTTTTGTTTTAATTTTTTTAAATGAGAGACACAATTTCAAATAACTATCATTTTTTATTTTGTATTTTTTAACAAGAGAAGCACATAATGCCTTTTTCTGCATGCCCGGAAAAGTTCCTTAACTATCCCTTTTTTGAATGATGTATTAATTTGAGTTTATGCTTAATCAAAGGCAATTAGTATGTATAGCATACTTATACTTCATCTACATCCGTAACACTTTTAGGTTGCAGTAACAATTTGGTTACTTAGCTATATATTTAATTGTCTTTTCTTTTGACTTGGATATAATTGGGGAGTTTTCTTAGACTATAGGGGATAGGATATAATATTGTCATATTCTTTCACAGATTTATATGGATTGGATATCTCTTGTAACTTGTATCCTCTTTCTTGATATGATATACTTCGTTGTTTAAAACAAAAATTCTTAAAGTAAATTGATCTCTTATCTTTATATATATTAATTATGTTTTTGAATTTTTATTATAAATTGTGGAGTTGGAAAGTGTGACTATAACAACTTATTTATCTAATTTTATAATTTTTTTTACAATTAAGATTTTTTATATGAAAAGTAAGTCTGCATTTTGTTCATCAAGGTACAAACGCAAGCCTTTTTATTAAGACTAAGTAAGTGTTGCTTCTTTGTAACTTCATATCTCTTTAGGGGGTGTATTGGATTAGGATTTTAAAGGATTTTTTTAGTTAAAAAAAATCATGAGGATTTTAAAACAATTTGAAAAATTCTCATGACTTTTAAGATTTTGCAGGATTCTACAAGACTTTTAAATCAGGATTTTAATGGATTCTGTGGGATTTTGTAGAATTTTTGTGGATTTTCATTTGATAAGATTTCAAAAACAAAATTTCATACATTTAAATTTAAAAAGAGTCAAAGGCAAAAATAATAAAAAAAAACAATAATGTCTAGATAAATAATAATAATAATAATAATTCTCCATAATATTCTATCCTCTTAAATAGCATTCACCCAAATATCTATATCTTTACTAGTCCTCCAAGCATTAACGTATTTTCGCTCTTGCTCCTGGGTTTGAATAATAGGCTTGAAAGTATGATCTTATTAACTGTTAACATTGAAGATGAAGGTTCATCCACCGCTTCAATTGGAAATTCATCGGAACGACATTCTTTACGTAGAAAGTTATGTAGTGCTGCACATACTAACACAAGTTCTATTTGTGTCTTAAATAAAAATGGAACTGCTGACTTAAAAATTGTGAACCTTGATTTAAAAATACTAAATATTCTCTCGATCACATTCCTTAAAGACGCATGACAAAGATTGAACAATTCTTTCTCATTTTCAGGGTCATTACCCTAACCTGCAAAATCTTGTAGATGATATCTTACACCTCGAAATGGAGCTAAAAATTAGCGTCGATTAGGAAATCCACAATCCACCAAAAAATATTTATCTAATTACATATGCAATATATATAATATTAGTATAATAATAATTATAATTATAATTATAATTATTATTTAAAGAATAAGAATTTAGATATAGAGAATATATATATAT